TTTCCATCACCCTGCCCCATTCACCCGCTTTCCATCACCCGCCCCATTCTCCCGCTTTCCATCACCCCGCCCATTCTCCGCGCTTTCCATCACCCCCGCCCCATTCTCCCGCTTTCCACCCCCCCCGCCCCATTCTCCCGCTTTCCATCACCCCGCCTCATTCTCCCGCTTTCCATCACTCCGCCCCATTCTCTCCGCTTTCCATCACCCCGACCCATTCTCCCAATTTCCATCATCCCGCCCCCTTCTCCCTCCTTCCATCACCCCGCCCATTCTCCCTCCTTCCATCACCCCACCCCATTCTCCCGCTTTCCATCACCACCCGCCCCATTCTCCCGCTTTCCATCACCATGCCCCATTCTCCCGCTTTCCATCACCCCGCCCCATTCTCCCGCTTTCCATCACCCCGCCCCATTCTCCCTCCTTCCATCACCCCGCCCCATTCTCCTGCGTCCCATCATCCTGCCCCATTCTCCGTCCTTCCATCACCCCGCCCCATTCTCCCTTCTTCCATCACCCCGCCCATTCTCCCGCTTTCCATCACCCCGCCCCATTCTCCCGCTTTCTATCACCCCGCCCCATTCTTTCCGCTTCCCATCATCCCGCCCCATTCCCCCGCTTTCCATCACCCCTCCCCATTCTCCCTCCTTCCATCACCCCGCCCCATTCTCTCGCTTTCCATCACCCCGCCCCCATTCTCCCGCTTTCCCATCACCCCGCCCCATTCTCCCGCTTTCCATCACCCCAGCCAATTCTCCCTCCTTCCATCACCCCGCCCCATTCTCTGGCTTTCCATCACCCCGCCCCATTCTTCCCTCCTTCATCACCCCGCCCCATTCTCCCTCATTCCATCACCCCGCCCCATTCTCCCGCTTTCCATCACCCCTCCCCATCTCCTCCCGCTTCCATAACCCCACCCCATTCTCCCGCTTTCCATCACCCCGCCAAATTTTCCCACTTTCCGTCACCCCCGCCCCTTCTCTCTCCTTCCATCACCCCGCCCCATTCTCCCTCCTTCCATCACCCCGCCCATTCTCCTGCTTTCCATCAGCCCGCCCCATTCTCCCCGCTTTCCATCACCCCGCCCCATTCTCCCTCCTTCCATCACCCCGCCCCATCTCACCGCTTTCCATCACCCCGCCCCATTCTCCCGCTTCCCATAACCCCACTCCATTCTTCCCGCTTTCCATCACCCCGCCACATTCTCCTCCCGCTTTCTATCACCCCGCCCCATTCTCCCTCCTTCCATCACTCCGCCCCATTCTCCCGCTTTCCATCACCCCGCCCCATTCTCCCGCTTTCCATCACCCCGCCCCATTCTCCCCTTTCCATCATCCCGCCCCATTCTCCTCCTTCCATCACCCCCCCCATTCTTCCGCTTCCCATCATTACGCCCCATTCCCCCGCTTTCCATCACCCCTCCCCATTCTCCCTCCTTCCATCACCCGCCCGCCCCATTCTCTCGCTTTCCATCACCCCGCCCCATTCTCCGGCTTTCCATCACCCCCCCATTCTCCGCTTTCCATCACTCCGCCCCATTATCCCTCCTTCCATCACCCCGCCCCATTCTCACTCCTTCCATCACCCCGCCCCATTCTCCCGCTGTCCATCACCCCGCTCTCATTCTCCCGCTTCCCATAATCCCACCCCATTCTCCCGCTTTCCATCACCCCGCCACATTCTCCCACTTTCTATCACCCCGCTCCCTTCTCTCTCCTTCCATCACCCCGCCCCATCTCCCTCCTTCCATCACCTGCCCCATTCTCCCGCTTTCCATCAGCCCGCCCCATTCTCCCGCTTTCCATCACCCAGCCCCATTCTCCCGCTTTCCCCATCTCCATGCCCCATTCTCCCGCTTTCCATCACCCCGCCCCATTCTCCTGCTTTCCATCACCCGCCCCATTCTTCCGCTTCCTCATCCCGCCCCATTCTCCCGCTTTCCATCACCCCTCCCCATTCTCCCTCCTCCATCACCCCGCCCCATTCTCTCGCTTTCCATCACCCCCGCCCCTTCTCCCGCTTTCCATCACCCCGACCCATTCTCCCGCTTTCCATCACCCCGCCCCATTCTCCCTCCTTGCATCACCCTGCCCCATTCTCCTCGCTTTCCATCACCCCGCCCCATTTCCCTCCTTCAATCACCCTTCCCCATTCTCCCTCATTCCATCACCCTGCCCCATTCTCCCGCTTTCCATCACCCCGCCCCATTCTCCGGCTTCCCATAACCCCACCACATTCTCTCTCTTTCCATCACCCCGCCACATTTTCCCACTTTCCATCACCCCGCCCCCTTCTCTCTCCTTCCATCACCCCGCCCCATTCTCCTCCTTCCATCAACCCGCCCCATTCTCCGCTTTCCATCAGCCCGCCCCATTCTCCCGCTTTCCATCACCCCGACCCATTCTCCCGCTTTCACTCACCCAGCCCATTCTCCCGCTTTCCATCACCCCGCCCCATTCTCCTCTCTTCCATCACCCAGCCCCATTCTCCCGCTTTCCATCACCCCGCCCCATTTTCCCGCTTTCCATCACCCCGCCCCATTCTCCCGCTTTCCATCACCCTGCCCCAATCTCCCGCTTTCCATCACCCCACCCCACCCATTCTCCCTCCTTCCATCACCCCGCCCCATTCTCCCGCTTTCCATCACCCCGCCCCATTCTCCCGCTTTCCATCAACCAGCCTCATTCTCCCGCTTTCCATCACCCGCCCCATTCTCCCGCTTTTTCATCACCCCGCCCATTCTCCCGCTTTCCATCATCCCGCCCCATTCTCCCTCCTTCCATCACCCCCCCATTCTCCCGCTTTCCATCACCCCGTCCCGTTTCTCCCTCCTTCCATCACCCCGCCCCATTCTCCCTCCTTCCATCACCCCGCCCCATTCTCCCGCTTTCCATCAGCCCGCCCCATTCTCCCGCTTCCATAACCCCACCCCCGTCTCCCGCTTTCCATCACCCCGCCACATTCTCCTGCTTTTTATCACCTCGCCCCATTCCCCTCCTTCCATCACCCTGCCCCATTCCCCGCTTTCCACCACCCCGCCCATTCTCCCGCTTTCCATCATCCCGCCCCATCTCCCTCCTTCCATCACCCCGCCCCATTCTCCCGCTTTCCATCACTCCGCCCCATTCTCCCTCCTTCCATCACCCCACCCCATTCTCCCTCCTTCCATCACCCTGCCCCATCCTCCCGCTTTCCATCACCCCGCCCCATTCTCCCGCTTCCCATAACCCCACCCTATTCTCCCGCTTCCATCACCCCGCCACATTCTCCCACTTTCCATCACCCCACCCCTTCTCTCTCCTTCCTTCCATCACCCCGCCCCATTCTCCCTCCTTCCATCACCCCGCCCCATTCTCCCGCTTTCCATCACCCCTCCCCTTTCTCCCACTTTCCATCTCCCCGCCCCATTCTCCCGCTTTCCATCACCCCGCCCCATTCTCCCGCTCTCCATCACCCCGCCCCATTCTTCCGCTTCCCATCATCCCGCCCCATTCCCCCCCTTTCCATCACCCCTCCCCATTCTCCCTCCTTCCATCACCCCGCCCCATTCTCTTGCTTTCCATCACCCCCCCCCCATTCTCCCGCTTTCCATCACCCGCCCCATTCTCCCGCTTTCCATCACCCCAGCCCATTCTTCCTCCTTCCATCACCCCGCCCCATTCTCCCGCTTTCCATCACCCCGCCCCATTCTCCCTCATTCCATCACCCCGCCCCATTCTCCCGCTTTCCATCACCCCGCCCCATTCTCCTGCTTCCCATAACCCCACCACCATTCTCCTGCTTTCCATCATCACCCCGCCACATTTTCCACTTTCCATCACCCCCCCCCCTTCTCTCTCCTTCCATCACCCCGCCCCATTCTCCTTCCTTCCATCACCCCGCCCCATTCTCCTGCTTTCCATCAGCCCGCCCCATTCTCCCGCTTTCCATCACCCCGCCCCTTTCTCCCGCTTTCCATCTCCCCGCCCCATTCTCCCGCTTTCCATCACCCCGCCCCATTCTCCCGCTTTCCATCCCCCGCCCCATTCTTCCGCTTCCTCATCCCGCCCCTTTTCCCCGCTTTCCATCACCCTCCCCATTCTCCCTCCTTCCATCACCCCGCCCCATTCTCCCGCTTTCCATCACCTGCCCATTCTCCCGCTTTCCATCACCCCGCCTCATCTTTTGCTTTCCATCACCCCGCCCCAATCTCCCGCTTTCCATCACCCTGCCCCATTCACCCGCTTTCCATCACCCTCCCCATTCCCCGCTTTCCATCACCCCGCCCATTCTCCCGCTTTCCATCACCCCGCCCATTCTCCCGCTTTCCATCCCCCCGCCCCATTCTCCCGCTTTCCATCACCCCGCCCCATTCTCCCGCTCTCCCGCTTTCCATCACCCAGCCTCATTCTCCCGCTTTCCATCACCCGCCCCATTCTCCCGCTTTCCATCACCCCGCCCCATTCTCCCCCTTTCCATCACCCCGCCCATTCTCCCTCCTTCCATCACCCCGCCCCATTCTCCCGCTTTCCATCACCCCGTCCCATTCTCCCTCCTTCCATCACCCCGCCCCATTCTCCCTCCTTCCATCACCCCGCCCCCATTCTCCCGCTTTCCATCACCCCGCCCCATTCTCCCGCTTCCATCACCCAGCCCCATTCTCCCGCTTTCCAACACCCCGCCCCATTTTCCCGCTTTCCATCACCCCGCCCGTTCTCCCGCTTTCATCACCCTTCCCCAATCCCCCGCTTTCCATCACCCCGCCCCATTCTCCCTCCTTCCATCACCCGCCCCATTTTCACCCGCTTTCCATCACCCCGCCCCCCATTCTCCCGCTTTCCATCACCCCGCCCCATTTTCCCGCTTTCCATCACCCCGCCCCAATCTCCCGCTTTCCATCACCCTGCCCCAATCTTCCGCTTTCCATCACCCCGCCCATTCTCCCTCTTTCCATCACCCCGCCCCATTCTCCCGCTTTCCATCACCCCGCCCCATTCTCTCGTTTTCCATCACCCCGCCCCATTCTCCCGCTTTCCATCACCCCGCCCCATTCTCCCGCTTTCCATCACCCCGCCCCATTCTCCCGCTTTCCATCAACCCGCCCCTTTCTCCCGCTTTCCATCTCCCCGCCCCATTCTCCCGCTTTCCATCACCCAGCCCCATTCTCCCGCTTTCCATCACCCCCGCCCCATTTTCCCGCTTTCCATCACCCTGCCCCATTCTCCCGCTTTCCATCACCCTGCCCCAATCTTCCGCTTTCATCACCCCGCCCCATTCTCCGCTTTCCATCACCCCCCCCCATTCTCCCGCTTTCCATCACCCCGCCCCGTTCTCCCGCTTTCCATCACCCCCCCCCATTCTCCCTCCTTCCATCTCCCCCCCATTCTCCCTTTCCATCATCCCGCCCATTCTTCCTCCTTCCATCACCCCGCCCCATTCTCCCTCCTTCCATCACCCCGCCCCATTCTCCCGCTTTCCATCACCCCGCCCCATTCTCCCGCTTTCCATCACCCCGCCCCATTCTCCTCCTTCCATCACCCCCCCCATTCTCCCGCTTTCCATCATCCCGCCCCATTCTCCCTCCTTCCATCACCCCGCCCCATTCTCCCTCCTTCCATCACCCCGCCCCATTCTCCCGCTTTCCATCACCCCGCCCCATTCTCCCGCTTCCATAACACCCCACCCCATTCTCCCGCTTTCCATCACCCCGCCCATTCTCCGGCTTTCCATCACCCCGTCCATTCTCCTTCCTTCCATCACCCCGCCCCATTCTCCCTCCTTCCATCACCCCGCCCCATTCTCCCGCTTTCCATCAGCCCGCCCCATTCTCCACTTTCCATCACCCCGCCCCATTCTCCCGCTTTCCATCACCCCGCCCCATTCTCCCGCTTTCCATCACCCCGCCCACTTCTCCGCTTTCCATCATCCCGCCCCCTTCTCCCTCCTTCCATCACCCCGCCCCATTCTCCCTCCTTCCATCACCCCGCCCCATTCTCCCGCTTTCCATCACCCCGCCCCATTCTCCCGCTTTCCATCACCCCGCCCCCTTCTCCCTCCTTCCATCACCCCGCCCCATTCTCCCTCCTTCCATCACCCCGCCCCATTCTCTCGCTTTCCATCATCCCGCCCCATTCTCCCGCTTTCCATCACCCCGCCCCATTTTCCCGCTTTCCATCACCCTGCCCCGATCTCCCGCTTTCCATCACCCTGCCCCAATCTTCCGCTTTCCATCACCCCGCCCATTCTCCCTCCTTCCATCACCCCGCCCCATTCTCCCGCTTTCCAGGATGATGTGGGTTCGGTTGGGAAGGTTGTAATGCACCCCCTAACTCACTGGGTGATCGATTCTGGTTGCACGAGTCACATGACTCCGCGGGCAGATTTGCTCGATGAGGTGAAACCCCCGGGAAGATCAAGTTTGTGGCTGCCGCGTAAGGTGTTTGCTCCCTGTGATTGGTGTTGGGAATGCCAAGGTGATGAGAGCCAATGGGGGACTTGTTGGACTTGGGAATGTTCTATTGGTGGATGTTTATCCGCTAACCTCCTCTCTGTGCGCCGGCTGCAGAAAAGCAAGGCCAAAGTCACGTTCGGCCCAACCAGCTGCCGTGCAAAGCTTGGGAAGTTGCTGCTGTGGGATTTGGAGGAGAAGAGCAGCTGCATCAAGGACCTGTGGCAGCTGCCCATCATCCCTTGGAATGGAAAATCTCCAGCAACGGCAAAGGCAGCGGCAGCGGCTAAGGCAACTGCGGGAGGAGAGGAGACTGCACCAACTGCTGGGGCCCTGGATGCAGTCAAGAAGGTGCAGCAGCCACAGCAATTACATGGTGAGGTGCTTGCTGGTGTGGATGCAACGGCTGCATGGGCAAAGGCTTCATCTGGGAGTGGTGAGGCCGATTGGGAGACGTGGCACGAGAGGTTGTGCCACATCAACATTCCGATGCTGCAGAAATTGGTGAAGGATGGGAACCTGAAGGGATTGGAGGTGAAGGGGGCAGCAAGGGAGATTGGGAGCTGCCCTACATGCCTTGAGACAAGTTCACGATGTTTCCCTTGAGCAGCAGCATGGGACCAGCGAAGGCTCGACTTGCACTTGTGCACATGGACGTGGTGGGCCCCACGAGGGCCCCTTCTCTCTCGGGCAGCCACTATTTCCTGACCATTGTGGATGACCACACACGTGCGGTGTGGGTCTACCCTCTCAAGACTAAGGGGGAGGTGGCAGCGGCTGTTCTCAAGGAGTGGATGCCGAGAGCACAAAGGGAGAGCGGACACAAGTGAAGGTGATCCGCACCGACAATGGGGAGAGTTCATTGGCGCTGTTTTTGAGGCGGTGCTGAAGAAGAAGGGGATCCAGCATCAGCTCACGGTGCCCTACAACCCTCAGCAGAACGGCGTGGCTGAGCGGTTCAACCGGACCCTGCAGGAAGGTGCTCGCACTCTCCTTGGGCGTGCAGGGCTGCCGGATCCGTTTTGGGTGACTGCACTGCGGCAGGTCGTTGTTGTGAAGAACCGGGTGCTCGCAACTGTGGGGACAAGCAGTGGGTGCCTTAAACCAAGTGGTATGGGAGTACACAGCAGTCAACATGCTGATGTGATCAACCCACCGTGTGTTCAACCCACCATGTGTTCAACCCACCGTGTGTTTCCACCCACCGTGTGTTCAACCCACCGTGTGTTCCACCCACCGTGTGATCAACCCACCGTATGTTCAACCCACCATGTGTTCAACCCACCGTGTGTTCCACCCACCGTGTGATCACCCACCGTATGTTCAACTCACCATGTGTTCAACCACCGTGTGTTCAACGCACCGTGTTTCAACCCACCGTGTGTTCAACCCACCGTGTGTTCAACCCACCGTGTGTTCAACCCACCGTGTGTTCAACCCATCATGTGTTCAACCCACCGTGTATTCAACCCACCATGTTTTCAACCCACCGTGTGATCAACCCACCGTGTGATCAACCACCTGTGGATTCCACCCACGTATGTTCCACCCACATGTGTTCAACCCACCGTGTTGTTCCACCCACCGTGTGTTCAACCCACCGTGTGATCAACCACCGTGTGGTTCAACCCACCGTGTGTTCCACCCACGGTGTGATCAACCCACCGTGTGTTCAACCCACCGTGTGTTCAACCCACCGTGTGTTTCCACCCACCGTGTGTTCAACCCCACCGTGTGTTCCACCCACCATGTGATCAACCCACCGTATGTTCAACCCACCATGTGTTTCAACCCACCGTTGTGTTCCCACGCACCATGTGTTGAACCCACCGTGTATTGAACCCACCGGTGTTGAACCCACCGTGTGTTCAACCCACGTGTGTTCAACCATCGTGTGTTCAACCCATCGTGTGTTCAACCCACCGTGTGTTCAACCCACCGTGTGTTCAACGCACCGTGTGTTCAACCCACCGTGTGTTCAACCCACGTGTGTTCAACCCCACCGTGTGTTCAACCCCACCGTGTGTTCAACCCCCACCGTGTGTTCAACCCACCATGTATTCAACCCACCGTGTGTTCAACCCACCGTGTGATCAACCCACCTGTGTGATCAACCCACCGTGGTGATCACCCCCTGTATGTTCCACCCACCATGTGTTCAACCCACCGTGTGTTCCACCCACCGTGTGTTTCAACCCACCGTGTGATCAACCCACCATGTGTTTAACCCACCGTGTGTTCCACCCACGGTAGTGTGATCAACCCACCGTGTGTTCAACCCACCGTGTGTTCAACCACCGTGTGTTCCACCCACCGTGTGTTCAACCCACCGTGTGTTCCACCCACCGTGTGATCAACCCACCGTATGTTCAACCCACCGTGTGATCAACCCACCGTATGTTCAACCCACCGTGTGTTCAACCCACCGTGTATTCCACCCATCGTGTGTTTGAACCCTACCGTGTTTTCAACCCACCGTGTGTTCAAACCCACCGTGTGATCAACCCACCGTGTGATCAACCCACCGTGTGATCAACCCACCGTGTGATCAACCCACCGTATGTTCAACCCACCATGTGTTCAACCCACCGTGTGTTCCACCCACCGTGTGTTCAACCCACCGTGTGATCAACCCACCGTGTGTTCAACCCACTGTGTGTTCCACCCACAGTGTGGATCAACCCACCGTGTGTTCAACCCACCATGTGTTCAACCCACCGTGTGTTCAAACCCCACCGTGTGTTCAACCCACCGTGTGTTCCACCCACCGGGTGATCAACCCACCTTTTGTTCAACCCACCGTGTGTTCAACCCACCGTGTGTTCCACCCACCGTGTGTTCAACGCATCGTGTGTTGAACCCACCGTGTGTTGAACCCACCCGTGTTTTGAACCCACCGTGTGTTCAACCCACCGTGGTTCCACCCACCGAATGTTCAATGCACCGTGTGTTTCAACCCACCGTGTCTTAAACCTACCGTGTGTTCAACCCACGGTATGTTCAACCCACCATGTGTTAAACCCACTGTGTGTTTCAACCTATCGTCTCTTCAACCCACCGTGTGTTCAACCCACCGTGTGTTCCACCCACCTTGTGATCAACCCACTGTGTGTTCAACCCACCTTGTGTTCAACCACCGTGTGTTGAACCCACCGTGTGTTCAACCCACCGTGTGCTCAACCTATCGTGTGTTTCAACCCACCGTGTGTTCAAACCCACTGTGTGTTCCACCCACCGTGTGATCAACCACCTTATGTTCAACCCACCATGTGTTCAACCCACCGTGTGTTCCACCCACCGTGTGTTGAACCCACCGCGTGTTGACACCCACCGTGTGTTGAACCCACAGTGTGTTCAACCCACCGTGTGTTCAACCCACCATGTGTTCAACCCACCGTGTGTTCCACCCACCGTGTGTTCAACCCACCGTGTGTTCCATCCACCGTGTGATCAACCCACCGTAATGTTAACCCACCATGTGTTCAACCCACCGTGTGTTCCACCCACCGTGTGATCAACCCACCGTATGTTCAACTCAACATGTGTTCAACCCACCGTGTGTTCAACGCACCGTGTGTTCAACCCACCGTGTGTTCAACCCACCGTGTGTTCAACCCACCGTGTGTTTCAACCCCACGTGTGTTCAACCCATCGTGTGTTCAACCCACCGTGTATTCAACCCACCATGTGTTCAACCCCACGTGTGATCAACCCACCGTGTGATCAACCCACCGTGTGATCCACCCACCGTATGTTCCACCCACCATGTGTTCAACCCACCGTGTGTTTCCACCCACCGTGTGTTCAACCCACCGTGTGATCAACCCACCGTGGTTCAACCCACCGTGTTGTTCCACCCACGGTGTGATCAAACCCACCGTGGTTCAACCCACCGTGTGTTCAACCCACCGTGTGTTCCACCCACCGTGTGTTCAACCCACCGTGTGTTCCACCCACCGTGTGATCAACCCACCGTATGTTCAACCCACCATGTGTTCAACCCACCGTGTGTTCCACGCACCATGTGTTCGAACCCACCGTGGTTGAACCCACCATGTGTTGAACCCACCGTGTGTTCAACCCACCGTTGTTCAACCCCATCGTGTGTTCAACCCACCGTGTGTTCAACCCACCGTGTGTTCAACGCACCGTGTGTTCAACCCACCGTGTGTTCAACCCACCGTGTGTTCAACCCACCGTGTGTTCAACCCACCGTGTGTTCAACCCACCGTGTGTTTCAACCCACCATGTATTCAACCCACCGTGTGTTCAACCCACCGTGTGATCAACCCACCGTGTTGATCAACCCACCGTGTGATCAACCCACCGTATGTTCCACACCACCATGTGTTCAACCCACCGTGTGTTCCACCCACCGTGTGGTTCAACCCACCGTGTGATCAACCCACCATGTGGTTTAACCCACCGTGGTTCCACCCACGGTGTGATCAACCCACCGTGTGTTCAACCCACCGTGTGTTCACACCCACCGTGTGTTCCACCCACCGTGTGTTCAACCCACCGTGTGTTCCACCCACCGTGTGATCAACCCACCGTATGTTCAACCCACCGTGTGATCAACCCACCGTATGTTCAACCCACCGTGTGTTCAACCCACCGTGTATTCCACCCATCGTGTGTTGAACCCACCGTGTTTTCAACCCACCGTGTGTTCAACCCACCGTGTGATCAACCCACCGTGTGATCAACCCACCGTGTGATCAACCCACCGTGTGATCAACCCACCGTATGTTCAACCCACCATGTGTTCAACCCACCGTGTGTTCCACCCACGGTGTGTTCAACCCACCGTGTGATCAACCCACCGTGTGTTCAACCCACT